CCAGAAGGTCATTGCGTGCGGTGCGGAAGCCCCGAGACGCTTGGGGACGGTCCTCTTGGGAGAAAGTAAAGACGAGGTTATTCCTTGCAACTATCCAGAGCAATGACTTCGGGCCGGTAAGGGACGATAGGATGCTTGTCCTTTGATTAAGATAACTTTGCCATGGCTCATCTTGAATCTACCAGCGCCTCGTTTGCACCTCATTCATCAATGTTGAACCAGTGTTGGAGCGCATGGGACGGCTGCGAGGTGCAGGTTCAAACGAATTTCCAGCGGCCGAGGCGAGCTTCACGGGCTTGACGGAGTATCGAAGTAGCATTGAGGAAACTGTCTACTGCTAATCTATTAGCTTCAATCTATTAGCTTCGGAACGTTGCGGCAGTTATTCGGTACCTCATGCGGGGGATGCCGTTGGCGAGAGCGAACAAGGGCCAGCGACAATGATGGCTTGTGACAGGCAACTGCGATGCGATTGGAAGGCAGTACCAAGTCAGTCGCCCTCCCATCTCTCACCAGCCATCTCGGTCCTTGGTTACGAACTGGTGCAGAGGGAACTAGGATGCCTCCTGCAACTCGGGCTCCAGCACAAGCCATGATCCATGAGGCCATGCTGCCACTAGCGACTATTGCCATGCCGTGACATGCAATGCCATGTACTGCACGAGAAGCAGAGCGAACGACCTGAGCTTGTCTACCATTGACAATTGCTCGAGATGAGGAGGATTGGCCTGCTTGGTTCGGACAGGTTGAAAGATGGATTAGGCTGCTGAGTTTGGCGGCACATGGCTTCGGTACCCGTCCATCGGCAATCCTTGGACAGCCCGAGGAAATGGCGGGAGGGGTGAAGTCGGCGATGTATCGGTAGATGGAAGGTCGGTGACCGGCCCCGATGCAACGGCGAGAAGTGTATCTTGGAGTTGAAGTACATACGACATGTTGGCATTAGAAGTGCGGAGAGGAAACTGGAGTTGATGATTGAGACAAGGCAAGATCAGGTGCCTACGCACCTTAGGGAAGTAGGCAGGTAGGTACCTTTGGCAATCGTGATTTTGACGGCAGTTGCGCGGATGGGAGTTTCCTTTTGGTTCTTCGAAAACTTCTCAGCTCCTTCCTTCCTTTTCTTCCTGCGACGATCCTACTCAGTTGACTTGTTTATTCGTCAGGTGCAATTCACCATTCATCTTCCACAAGTAATTTGTCTAATGCAGTGTGGAAGGCAAGGTAGTTGAGCAACATCCTTCTTGACTCGCTCGGAGCATCCGCTGTACTGTAGTGCGTGAGTACCTGAGGTAAATAGTCAGGTAGGTAGTCTAACATGAAGGTAGGCCGATCTACATCTCGACTTCTGCACCGTTCAACTTAGGTACGGAGTATTCACATCTGCCTTCACCGCGTTGCATCTACCTGACTCAGTTCCAGGAATTTTTTCAAATCACACCCTCCTGCGGTCTGCTTTGCGTCGTTGGCAAGCCCGCATGGATCGAATCCCGTCGTCTTGCTGCCACTAGCATCCAGAAAGTCACCTCATTTCCTCCATCACCAAACCACCGCTGACGTATATCACATTGCGCATCCTTGCCTTGAGAATCGAGGCACTCACAGCACTACCTTACGGATACGCTGCCGGTATTCGAATACCTTGCGCAATTTCAGCACCCTCGTTCCTATTCAGTCTCACCAGTGAATCCTCGTCAGCCACCGCCCCATGTTACTTTCGTCTCCAACGCCATCATCCATGGCATTGGCAGCACTGATCGATAATCTCGACAAGCCATCTTAGGCTGTTCCGGGGCTGATCCGTCTGGAGTGATCCATTGACTCGGGACAAGCAGCCACCGGAGCCATGACTTATACGAATGCCCGACGGAACGAGAGACACACGAGAGGCGCGAGGCCCAGTCCGATCCAGTACAATCCAGTCTACACAATAATCAATCATCCCGACGTACATTCACCGCTTTCGGAGCCTCACAAACCGTCAACCAGTGTCATCGGCATTGTCCTGGCGCCCATTTGACACAAATCAGCACTGCCAATTACAGTTTTGGAGTGCCAGGACCAGCGCCAGCGTCATTACCGTACCGGTTCCCGAGCCATCAGCGTCAGCGTCAGCGTCAGGCGCCAGCCTCTCTTCTCCAATCCAGTAATCCCGAGGCTCAAAGCCACCAGAGCGATGCCTCTCCCTCTCTCTCTCGTTTCGCCCACCCTTAAACACGACCCTGACTCCATCGTCCCCATCAGCGCTGTCTCGACCCCCGCCCCATCGGATCTACCAACCTACGGCTGACTACACCCACTACTGAGTCCTGACCACGGACCAACGATGACCTTCCTTCGGTTATACGGATGGTACCTGGGTACCTCGGACGCACACGTACGCTGTTCACTGCCTGTTCTCTTTGCAGCAGGGAAACGCCCACTGTTCCGGCTGAACAAAGAACAGGGAACCTCGACTTTGGTGAGTCGAGCCTCTCTTTCTTGTTGTACGGATACCCCCTACCCTGGATTTTCTGGTATTTCACTTGACCTCTCACACCCATATGGCTGTGCACCGATATCCGCCGCTTCCACTGCAACTGGAGTCGTTGCAACTGGAGGAGCCAGTACCCTTCCCAACGCATCACTTGACGAGTTGTCGTCAGTGTATCCGTACTCCGTACGCATACGCAGTAATAGTCTGCTGGGCTGGCTGGGGGCCCAACATCTGGCCCAAGTTTACGGACACGGCATCTCTGCTACGACCTCGAGTTCCATATCTCGTGCAAGGCCAAGTACGGATACCTCCTCTCGTCGTTGTTCCATTGGATTCTGCATGCGCAAACGGAAACGGCTACCTTAGCACTCTGCGTGGCATGGATAGCACTGGGGACACCGTGGACACCGTGGACCGCAGAATGGTCTGGCCGTGCATTGCATGGCAGCGCATCGGAGCGCACCTCAGCAGATGTCCATCTAGCGCGGATGAGTGCTTCCACTTGTCTAGCTGAGGAAGAGGAGGGAAGAGTGAGGAGGAGGGCCATGAGGTGTGTGTTTGCGTGTGTGGTGTTGTGGTCACACCCCCCACCGTCCAAACTGAAGACTTCAGAGTAACTCTCGCTCACTCCCGCAGCCACAAGCTCTCTCTTCCCGGCCGTGGAGTTGTAAAGTCCACCCAAGAGTGGCAGACTAACAGGCTGAAAGTGGTGAGGTAAGCCGCCTGGGAACGCCTCGCCTCGTTGCTTGGGTCTCCGTTTTAATCAATCCTGCATTGGCGCCTCCGATGAAGTGTGCCCTGCACGTCTATTTTCCCAATAAATAACAACATAATCCACCCCCCTCCCCAGACCAGACCCAAAGCTCCACCAGCCACCCTGTCCCCTGCTCCACGTCTGTTGTTCCTTGTCTTGTCTTTGGTTGTCATTGTGAGCGCTTCTCCCGCCTTCGACCTGGCGCCTGGCTTGCCCGGTTGGACCTGGACCCGGTCCTGCCTCTCTGCTTATTAGATCATCATTGACCGACTGACACAATTCGCCTCCAGTCTTCTTCTAATACTTCTACTCTCACTCATCACCTCTGATTCACTTCCTCCTTCTCTCCTTCTTTTTCTTCTTTCTCTCCCTCACGTCTCCCTCATCCCACTTCGGTCTCTTCACACCTCCCGCCTCGCCACGCAAGCTGCTGGACCCCAACGAGTCATCCTCTGCGATCAAGTCCGATCTCGTCTCTCGACGTCGCAGTCTACAAACCCAACCAACGTCGCTCTCAGAAGAGGACACCCGTAACCAAATCGTCTTCACCCCAAAACAACTACCAATCATGCCTCAGAAGAAGATCCGCTGCACCTTTAAGGAGTGCAAGGATGCTGCTCAACGTATCGTTGGCGACTGCGGATTCTGCAACGGCCACTTTTGTGGCAAGCACCGCCTCTTAGAGGACCACAAGTGCGACGGCTTGGAAGACGTAAGTTTTACTTCCGAGTTACCATTCTCATGGTTATTAGGACTCGGTACTGTGTTGCAAGATGAAGGACTCATTTGCTAACTTACTGCTCAGTGCAAGAAGCAATCACATGAGCGGAATGCAGCACAACTCGAGAGCGAGCGCACGCAAGTTATCCGTGGGGTATAATCGGATCGACAACATCGAGACCGATCCTGATTGCATTCCGCCATGGCGCTCGCGTAGTCAAGCACACATACACATGGCGAGGTGCCACGAGCTATCCCACAAGGCCGGATACAGCGTGGATTGCACCACACCAAGAGCTGTCAAGCCAGTCCGGGGCGCAAGGCTCACATCCTTATCGCACGTCCTACCCACATCTTTGGACCTCTGCACGACGCATGGATCAGTTATTTTCGACACAGTTATTTGCGAGATTTCGCAGCTCGCATTCATAATGCTGCAGCGGTAGCGACGGCGGCGACAACAGCGTTTCTGTTTGGTCTCCGCGTGATTTGCACGATTCAGAGCGGCATCCCGTCCGAATCCTTACACCAATGATGTGTATCATACTTCGGCTTAGGATAGTTCGGCTTCATACTTCTTCCGCAAGGCGTACCGGCGTATAGTTCATTTGGAGCGGCCGCCAAGGAGAATTTGGCCATCAAATTTTGACAATATTTCAAACCATTATTTAACTCAGTTTTGATCACTGCTCGACTCCATGTTCACTACCGTTTGACAAATGCATATTTCATGACTAACAAACCTCACTTTGAACTATGATGTTCCACACCACGCCACACGCTGGGTCAGTGGCAGTGGCCGTTCCGGCAGCGGAGTAGCCGCGAGTCGCCGGGGCCAGTTCGGAGAGTTATCCGCCTTTTCAGCCGAATGAAACCACGGACGAACATTACAAAGTGCGTCAGAACTTTGACCCTTTTTTCTCTCTCACTCTGTCACCTCCTTGTTCCAGAACATCCATCAAAGGAGAGGCGGAGGAAGAGGGGGCGCCCGGCGGGCAAAGACAATTCTGTTTTTCCCTTAGGCCCCCCCTGCAAGCCGTGGCACGCCGTGCTTCATATGGCCGCTTTCGTCGTCCTCTGACCTCGCGAGTCAGCCACAACTCTCTCCGCCATCCCCATCCTCATCCCCCTCCGCCCACGCCGATTTTCCACACGTCACGAAAAGCTACTTTCTGATTGAAGTGGACGACAATGACGGCACCAGTAAACCACGGGTCCACGGGGGATCAGAGCACGGGCGCCCACTACATACAACGGGGCGAATACCGATTATCCCGGCCTATCTCCGATATCGTATCTCACACAGTCACAATCGCCCCCATCCTTCTGCTACCGTCTTTCATCTTCTCTCAACGCAGTCGTCTGCCCGGACCAGCTGACAACTCACCACAACACAGTACACACAGTGTCGGGAACGACCGGCAGGCACGGCAATGACTCTTCAACTCCCTTTTCCGCAGGACCACCTCAAAATTCGGAATTCCTCCGAGTTTGTTCGGGTCCCCCGCTTCTCCACCGACCCCCGAGAACGAGACAAGTAGGACCCCGGTCATTCCGCTGGTTCACTGGTCGCGTGGTCGATTTGTCGTTGCCGGCGGACGGCACGTCATTTCTGCGATTGCCGCCCGCCCCTGGCGTTGATGTTGCACATTCCCGTCTCCGTACAGGACAACGCACAAGTAACGGTCATGCCGGTATGGGCCAATTGCTTCATTTACGACAAGTGTTGTACAATAGATAGGGTTCTATCACACCCTACTACCTGGATAGGCCGCTTCTGCGACTTCTTCGCGGTGCATCCGTACTCACAACTGCATCCGGTTCATCACCAACCGCCGGCTCCGATGCCGGCTCCGGCTGCTCCGTCCTTTGGTTCACAACCGCATCACGCGCAACTTGCTCCTCCTTGACAACCTCTTCCGTCTTGATGACCACGTCCCCATCTTCCTCCTCCTTCACCTCAACCTTGACCTCCCTCATCTTACGCCCCTCATTCACCTTCTTCCTCTCCGCCGCCTTACACAACCCGCCCAACCCGAGCTCGCAATCGCCGCACTTGCGCCCGACAGGCAAGCAGACCGTCTGGCCGAACCCGACGAGCAGCCAGTTGATCTCGCGCCACTTATCCTTGGGCAGCCAGCTCTGCAGCGCGTGCCGCGTCGCCTCGGGCTGCGTGGTCTTGTGCCAGCCCCAGAGGTTCGTGATGCGGTGCACGTGTACGTCCACGCCGATGCCCTCGGTGCGGTCCCAGGCAGCGGACAGGCAGAGGTAGGCCATCTTGGGGCCTACGCCGGGTAGGGAGGTGAGACCTTCGATCGTGTCGGGGATATCGCTGTTGAATTTGTCGCGGAGGATGATGGCTGCTGCTTTGATGAACCTAGGACATCCAACGTTAGCATTTTCGGTGTTCTGCCACATACACCCGGATCGAATGCAATCGCTCCCCGTGTGCCATCCATCATCGGAAAGAAAGGGAACAACATACTTTGTCTTGTTGTTATGAAACCCCACCGCCCAAATCAACTCATTCAACAGCGCAGGTTCCACAGCCAACACATTCTCCAAACACAATCCCCCCTCCGCGCCCTCCTCGTGCGGCGGCAACTCCGTCATCAGCCTCTTCATCGCCACCGCGTTAACCGTGTCTTTCGTCTGGCTCGAGAGCATGAGCGCAATCAAGATATGGAAGCGCCGGTCGCGTTCCGAGGCGTCGGGGTGGAAGAGGCGTTCGCAGCCCATTGTGTCGACGGCGGCGTTGCGCGCCGCGCCGTGGAGGCGCATTTCTTTGACGGTGTTGTAGATTTGCGACCAGTCTGTTGGGGGTTCGATGTGTGTTGTGGAGGAAGAAGGGGATGTGCCGCGGATCGTGCGTGCTGGTTTACGGGTTTTGCGGGCTTTTGGAGGGGATGGTGGTGATGTGGCGTCGGTTTCGATGTGTTCGGTTTTGAGTCTCGTTCGTGATTTTGATGTCGTTCTTGGTGGTGGTGGTGGCGGTGGTGCTGCTGCTGCTGTGCCTGTGGCACTTTCACTCTCCTCGCCTTGTACTTCCTCCTCTTTGACAACCCGTCTCCGTTTCCTGCTCGGCGGATCGGGAATAACATCTTCAATGTCAGCGACGCCTAGGATTATATCGTGGAGCGCGGCTTCCGTGGCTGTCGCCTTGGAATCCCCCGTAGAGGTCGTTGAATTCGATGCGTATGCGAACCGCGCGAGCGAAGATCTCGTCGTCCGGCGGGTCTGTGACGGCGGCGGCGGCGGCGGCGATGATGCCGCCATCTTGTTGAAGAGCGCCGACGTCTCTTTTGCTAGTTTCGAGGTCTTCATTGTGAAGTGAGGTGCGCTATCCTATGCTTTCGACTCATGGCGCTGCGATGGCGAACATTGACAAGTTTACAACAAGATATCTGGAAGCATTCAAAAGAAGCCCTTCCTGTCCTTGGCTGATGTATCCGTATGTCTGACGAACGAGAGGTAGTTTGTCAAAGAAATGGCAAGCTCCCGTCGACAACGACGCAATTGACTCTAGCAACCCCCCTACAACGCGCCCAACGCGCCGCCGGCGTAATCGTAAACCCATTGGTCCTCGACTTCCCGTCCCGCCCACGGACCACTTGTGTGGCTTGTGAAATAAGAGCCGGGGGGGAGGGACGGAAGAGGGGGGGGTGCAAGACCCCTGTGGACACCATGCCTGGTCCGAGCCTAGTGCCGCCCGGATAGCCGGGATTACCAGTCTGCTTAAGCGAGAAAGCCGTATCCTTGTCCGTATGACGCTCCTGCTTGTAGTCGTACGGGATGGGGGGAAAGGTACTTTGGATGTGTGTGAGGTTGGGAAGGGGGATCAGCAGAAGAAGATGGAGGCAGTTCTGGAAGTAGGGTCTTTTCAGGGCGCTGGCTAATCAAGATGAACTATGCAGATCGTTGTTTTGTTGAGGGGTGTTTGTTTGTAAGGCGTTGATCCGGGTTGAAATCCCGTGGACCAGCTGAGCTGGATAATCACCATAATAACATCCACAGAAAGTAGGCAACATTTGACTGGAATGATACGTACCAGCATGCCTTCTCCGTTCATGTTTACGTTCTATTCACGGGGTGCAAACAGACAGCTCAAATGTGAATCTTCTTGGGCTGCCAAGCCTATCTACAACAATCACGCAGGTATTAAAGATCTGTGGTGTAAGAAACATACGGTTGATCATGATTTGTACAGGAGGTAACTTGAACTCTCCGAGAGGAGCATTAACTCTAAATCCATCGCTTCTCCAACTCCAACTCCGGCTCCAAAAAAACAACAACACCAAACTACCCTGTCTAGACCGTGAACTCTTCGTTAAGCCAGTGCTTGAGCACGACGTGGCCCTCGCTGAACGTCTTCTTCTCCCAACGCACAATAATGGCAGCATGGCTGTGTCTGTCCTTGTGGATCCAAACAGGATACTTGTGCCATCCCACAGAGTCGAGTGCCTGAATCATCTGGAACTGGTAGGGCGCCAAGGCGAGGGTAGGCTGCGACGGCACCGACATGCGCCTTTCCCTAGCCAGGAGCTGTGTGGTGCTGCGATCCATCTCGACCTCATCCAGATCCTCTTCCGATTCACTTCCCAGGAACTCTTGGTCTTGCGAGCTGTTGAGAGTCTCGTACACGTGTTCCACCTCCTCCCGAATCTCCTTCATCCACAGGGGGCCGCGGTATTCGTCAATTGCCACTCCTGCAAGCCCCTTTTCGTGCAATTGAATGCGTTTCGATGAACGGACCGTCTGGACGACTGAGCTGAACAAGAACGCAATTATACCAATGGGGACGAAAATCGTCAAGGCTATGGCGAAAGGAACGCGCTTGATCCATTTCCAGCTTGACCCAGCAACAGACGAAAGCGTGGCCGGCTCCGAAATCTTTGGCTTTGGCGCCACGGGATGATTGGGATCAAGGATGACATCTTCATAGCCGTCCAAGAAATTGGCCTTGATCTTGTCGACGTTGGTGTAGGGGTCGGTCTTGGTAATGCCGGTGGTGTAGTGCACGGCACTTCTGTCGTTGACAATGTTGGTGTATAAGGTGTGACGTTTGAATCGCTTTAGTCCCGCGAGGAAAATGGAATCGGGATCGGCCAAAACGGCGAGCAGTGGTCGACCGGTATCGCGGAAGTTGTCGATGGTGAACAGCTGACGGCCGGACATGGATAGGGTGCGAGCTCCGAGAACATTCCACAAGTGATTGTGCCATCCCCGGAGTGGTGTGCGAACGCCGAGGTGTGGCGTGGCAAAGGTCACAAAGTTCTACCGCAAGTTAGTCGCCATCGTCCTTTGCTGCATCAAGAGATCCTTCTCTCACCATGCATTCCACGGTATCGAGTATGCCCTTGGAGTGAAGCAGGCCAACGGCGTAGCGGGAAACGAGACCTCCGAGCGAGTATCCGACGATGCTCAGCTTGGTGATCTTGCCGCCCTTCTCCTCAATGAGGCGCAGCTCTTCCTCGATCTCGGCGCACACACGCTCACCACCACGCTCGATACCATCGTACGTGAAAGAGCCACTGTTTCGCTTCGCAAGTAGCAGGTGTAGCTTGTCGGCGGAGTACTTGGCGCGCAAGCTTTTGGCGATCTGGGCCATGTGGTTGGGGTTACCCCAAAGCTATGGAGCCGAGGCGGCGTTGCGTTAGTTCAGAAACATTCATGACGTCGTGGGAAAACGGTGCTGCAGTCTGCAGACGGGTGCAGAAAGGGAGAAAAAGACAGGGAATGACGTGTAAGGTGTAAAGGTAAACTCACCCCATGGACCAAGACGCAGAGATGATCGGCCTCTGCGGTGCCTCCGGTGTAATCCATTAGATAGTCGTAGGATGAGATCAGGGACCGGTTAATAGAGCGAACAGAAAAGGGTAACAACGTTGGAAAAAGTTGCGATGGAGAACGTCGAAGGGAAGCTCCAGTGGGACGCGCTCCGAGTTAAATTCTCGGGGCGACCACAAGAGTCCCTCCAACGGACAATCCGCGAAGCCCGACCGTCGAGGTGGAGGGGGGGGGGGGGGCGTCTGAAGTCCGCTCAGGACAGTGGACAGGTGCTTGTTGGCGGGTTGAAATTCAATGACACCAACACTGCCCTGGGCCCCAATACCGGGCTCTCCCGCACGCTGGCGGAGCGGCGTTTGCTACTTTGCTGCCCGTAATACTGAAGGGGTGTATGCAAGTCCCCTGGATTTAAGGGGGAGATAAGGCGGCTTAGCACCACGATTGCTCCGGTAGTCTCCTGTGGTGGTGTGCTTCCAGGCCGCGATTGGGTGAGGGTACCGTGCGCCGCGTGGCTTCAGCGGCCTGGTGATTCCTCCCGTCTCCTTTGCAGGCTGCAATTACTCGTCCAAGCTGTTTGTTGATTGGGCAGAGTCGGTGTTTGTTTGCTAACCACACCTCGTACTTTACCCTGAGGTAACTAACCTTACCAAGGGTAAGCTGTCGGTAAGGTAGGGATCGAGGTACCTAGACAGTAGACAGGAATGGAATGCGCGCACGCGACGTCTCTTTTGGGACCTTGCTGATAAAGTGGAGGGAGCTGCAGTTCGCAGCCGTTGGTGGGGTGGAATCAGCTCGTCGGGATTGCGACCCGTGACGACACCTCAAGCTGCAAGTCTCTCCGTGTAGTCCTGGGTTGGGTGAGCTCGCAAGATGGTCGATTTTGGGGAACAACTCGAGAGTAAGTCGAAGGGATGAAAACCTGCCGCGGGGTGGTGAGGACCCTGAGCCGAGCAGGCGCACCGGCCGCCCACTCGTCGCTGGTACGAAGTAGTCGATAGGACGGGTGTGTGAGAACCCAATTCCGAGTTGAACTTTGGTGTTTGATGTTCATCCGCTGGGTACGTCACGGTGATATCTAGCTTTCGCAAGCGCGTACTTCATCCAAGAGGATTGCTTCGTTGTGCAACTTCCCGTTCTGCCAAAGCAAAGGTTTTCAGATCACAACTTTCGTCCAGGTGGTGGGCATTGGGCGCCTCATTTATAGACGGCCCAAGATTGAAAAGATAGCATTGCACAGGAAGCAAGCCAGGTTGGTTTGTGAACCCCTCGCTTCATCTTGCTCCTTGATAACGATTTCCTCGATAACTGAGCTAACACAGGAGTGACACTGACAGGCAGGACATACCTCCCGGCCGTACTCACACACTTACCTACACAGTAGACTCTGCACTACGGGCTACTCACCGCCAATAGCTCTTGTCCAACCGTTGCACCGCGATAGGCAAGTCCATCCTCGAGACCAGGGCTGCCCATGGTTTCGCCCTTTCGTTTGGGGCCACTGCCACTAGCACTCGCCGGGGCTCTGATACCGCAGTGCCGTTATCAGCGGGCAAGAGAAATGGCTGGTGGCTTCGTTGGCGGGCGTCTTTTTGGCTTTTGACTCTCCTGCTCTGCCTGCTCTGCGTCTCCATCTGCGTGTCTGCGTCACCCTGCCCATGCAAGGAAGGTGCGGAGGCTGCATTCTTATTGTTGTGCCCCGTATGGAGTACATACGCAGTAGTAACTCAACACCTCAAGAACGAGGGGCTGTGGTGGATAAGGGAGGACAGGTTGATCACCAGGTCCATCATATCACATGCGAGACCATGCCTGTGCAGCCCCGCGCGGATCCGATAAGAGATGTCGGATCTGACGAGCTGCGAGCACAACAAATGAGAGCACGGCGGGGCTTGCTCTTGCTGGCGTCAGACGTAGGTACTGAGATTGATAAAGTGCAATGTGACGGAAAAGCAGTGCAAGTGGGATTCGTGAATCAAGCCTTATCTGTAGTGTACTTTGTGTGATTAATACGCTTTCTGCCATGATGTATCTCCAAGATGTCTTGGCGCGGGTGGAAATGCCCGTGTGTATTATCGGGCTGATTCCTGGGCTTCCAAAGATGAGACGGTGGATGAAATAAAGTTTGTGTACCTGGAACTAACAACGATATACGGATACTGTGGGCAAGGCTCTTTCTGGAGGGTCCTGGACGGCCATGGAGGGAGATATCGCGGACCTACCAATTTCTCCAAAGTTCAGGAACAAAGATGCCGGGCTTATTCAGAAAAGCGACAGGTCGATAGCAGACGTGGATGGCCTTGCCGTTCTTGGGTGTTCGTATGCAGGCAGGCCGCAAGCTGCAAAAGATGATTGACGGTTTGGGAAACTCCCAACTTGACTCAGGTGGGTGATGTAACGGCGTCGAAACAACTTTCGGTGTAAAAGGACAAGAAAGGGTGCAACCCTGAAGCTCGATTGCAGTCTTCCCTAGGTTGTCATTTCGATTGATGAGCTAGACCATTTCTCGTTGCGTGCTGCCTTATCTTGCCAGTGCATGGACATCTCGGCAACCTGGATCATTGCGTGCCCTCATTGCGTGGCAGGGGAAGGTGACGACGAAGTATTCGAATGCATTAGAAACTGCAAGATCCAGACCAACAGTGGAGATGGATGCATCTCCGTCAGGTACGGAAAGATCCAGTGCTATTCTCGGTCAACGGCCCCACTAGAGCTTCAAGCTGGCCTTACGCCGTAAAGATGCACCTTGAGACTTAGGTAATCCTTCCAGACGCTCGGAGCCTCCCTTCATCCCAACTCCGACAAGATTCGAGACACATCAACCATCTGTGACACTGTCCCAAACCAACCCATCTTTATGCCTTGGATTTTCCCGTTATCGTCTTTTTGCAGCATCACCCAATCTTACTTCATTCTCGTGTCAGCCTCGCCCGGTCTACGCGCCACAACCGACCAACGTCCCCTTTGTCCGTGGACCCGCGAATTCTCCGACTGGAACGTCACAACCTGACCTAACGACATTGGCCCCATCTGTGTCTGCGTCTGCGTCTGCTTTCTGCCATTTTGGCTATGAGATCCTCGCACCATTCCCCCGGATCTTCGAGGCCTTAATCGGCGCTTTCACACTCAATCTCCCTCTATCCCTCTCGAGCTCACTTAGGCTTTATCCCACACCAACAGCCAGTAGTCTCACCCCACTCTCTCTACCATTCACAGCTTCGTCCGTGTATACCCTCCAACGTATACTTCCGTCTGCAAACGAGGTTCTGGCGGTCTCCCATCTCCGTCACCTCCGTTCCTTCTCTTAGCGTTGTAGTAACAGACGAAGAAGGAAGCAGCCGCGCCTGGCGGTCCTGCCATTGTTCAACAGAACCATTGTATTTCTACAGCGTCTGAGGAAAGTCTTGTCACAATGTCCTTTGTAGACCTCAAACACATTCCCTGTCCCAAGGGAGAGCAATGCACAGCTTTCATGTGCCTCTTCCAGCATAAAGCAGACAGGGATAAGATGGCGGCACCATCAGCACCGGCACTCAACGCGTCAGGAACGTCGGCAAAAAGGTCGACTGATACCACGACGGATGCAACCCGGGATGGCCCTCGAAAACGTCTGAAGGTTGCCCAAGACGTCAGAAACCCCGCCGATTCTACAAGTCCTCCCACTCCTGTCAAAACGACCTCAAAACAAGACGTTACCGCACCAAGACCAGATGACACTCTGTCACCTGTCGCTCGGCCCATCTCACCTCCACCTTTAAAGCGTCCATCGTCCTCCTCCTCCACGGTCGTGAAGAAGCTTCCACAGTCTAAACCAGTCGCCCCTTCTCTCGCTTCTTCGTCCGACCTCAGGAAGTCACTGAATCACTCTGCTCCAAGCAGGTCCTCTCCTTTATCATCGTCTATTAATCCTCCAACTAAACGCAAGGCTGATTCACCTGCCACTGCTATATCTCATTCTTCCCCAGTAAACCTAACTTCAACACAAAAAGACACTCCTTCCACTCCATCCAAGACCGACCCTCCTAAGAAGATCAGGAAGGTTGAGGCTCTCAACCCTCGTTTACTCAAATCATCACCAGCAAAGTTTGAGATACGATTCAAGCTAGTACAGCTGCTACATGAACAATACGCCCGCCTGAACAACGAGCTCAAGAAGACTGCCAAAGACGCAGAAGAGAAGCAGCTCCTTCTCACAGATCAAGATCTCATTTGGAGAGTCCTTGACGAAGAAGAATCCACGGCGATAGAGAAAGGCGCCATCTACTCAAACGTAATCAAAAACAAAATCATGCAGTACAAAAAGATGACACTCCTTCAGTGGAAGGAGGAGAGAGTCGTTCAACGCCGCCAGACGACTCAAAAGGGCCCTCACAGCAAGGCTACCGCCCCTCCCAAGAAGATTGTTACGGGCTTGACCCCGGCCCAGGAAGTCCAGCTTGTTCGCCAACTCATCACCCCCATCGACGGCCTTGCCGCCCACGGCTACGTCTCCTCTGTCCCTGCCGAGGCCGACATCCAGAAAGCCCGTGAGGGTCTTGATGCTGCAAAGGGTTGGGAGAAGTGTGACCGCTGCGACAAGCGCTTCCAGATGTTCCCTGGAAGAAGAGAAGAGGATGGCGCTCTCGCCTCTGGTGGCAGTTGCACCTTCCACTGGGGCAAAACCTACTTTCCCGAGCGCCAGTTGGGCGATAGATCTCAGCAACCCAAACGCTACCGATGCTGTGGGCAGGCTGTCGGAGACTCTGCCGGCTGCCACTCCAACGCTCACCACGTTTTCAAGGCATCAGATCCCAAGAGACTGGCTTCCGTTCTCAACTACGCCGAGACGCCTGCCAACCCCAATGCTCCCACCGACAGAGCTGTTGGCTTCGATTGCGAAATGTGCTACACGGTCCATGGCCTTGAGCTCATTCGCCTAACTGCAACATCGTGGCCTACTGGAGAAGAGCTATTGGATGTCCTCGTTCAACCCATCGGTGAGATCCTTGATCTCAACTCGCGCTACTCGGGTGTGTGGCCTGAAGACATGGCATCCGCCGAGCCCTGGACTGCAAAGGAAGAAGATCCAACTCCTGCCCAGGCGAAGAAAATGTCGAGCCCCAAGAAGACCAAGAAGAAGATGAAGATTGTGTCGTCGCCTGAAGTTGCTCGCGACCTTCTCTTTGCCCTCATCAGTCCCGAGACCCCACTAATTGGACATGGACTGGAGAATGACTTGAACGCCGTTCGTATCGTCCACCCTACTGTCATTGACACTGTTCTTCTTTACCCGCACAAGCACGGCCTTCCGTACCGCCTTGGCCTGAAGATGCTCATGGACAGCCTTCTTAACCGTAAAATTCAAGTTGAGACGGCTGGCAAGGTTCAGGGACACGACAGTGCGGAAGACGCCCGGGCTGCGGGAGATCTCGTGCGCCTGAAGCTCTCCGAGGAATGGAAGAGCATGAAGCTCAAAGGTTGGAAGCTTGAGGGGGGTGAGTTCGTGCCGCCCGGCGGCAAGGTGGACGATTTCAATCGTCACTTGACTGCCGAGTTCCTTGAATCTGCCCTTTAGAGCCGGGTGGGCATAGCACATGGTTGATTTTACGAGAGAATGAGCTGGCGTTAGGGAGGACAAGGGTTCCTCAGGGTCGATGGGCTTTTGCAATTATGATACCTACCCTACATGGGTTTTCTTAATACTAATTGGTACATGGGACCATTCTCACTCAGCTATTCTTGACTTGTTTCTTCACGACGTGATTGCTTGCGTGCGACTATCGAACGTGTACCTATCCGGTGAGCAACAAAATAGTCGCTTGGCGTTTCTTCATCCATCGGGTAAGCATGGTACTGTTTGGACCACGGGCAAGAGGGGTAGATACTCAATGACTTTTGAATTGTAGACAACTCAAAATCGTGACAAGAGGGGGTGTGAAGTGACCAGAACGCATATCAGAGAAGCATGTGTGGAATTGTCGACAAGATTAACTTTTTACCATCTGCGAGACTGTTCAGGATCTCACCAGTGCTCTCGGTGTTCGTCTTCGGGTGCTTTCTAGGTGCTGTCACGGAGTTCTTGGCCATTGAAGAGAGCTCTACATCACATGATCGATGTGTACACTCCACAGCTTACCCTTCAGCCCGCCTAAGAGAGTTGGGCTTTCGCAAAAACCAAGGGTGCGGCACGAAACAAGTGTGTGGAAAGGCGGCAGAATTCATTGCCCTATGATTACACTTATTGAAGCGGTGACTTGCCTTCAAAGTCTATAATACAGCGTCGCCCTCTTTTTTTTCACTACTTCATCCACTCCTTCTTGACATCGCGACCAACCACTTTACGGCCGGCCAACGTTTAACAGCATCTGGTTACCGCTCTTACCACCGCTCGGCAAGTACGCGACGTTCGGATTCGACGACAGCGTCGCCGCGATATCCCGCGCGGCCTCAATCTTTCGAATCTGCACGAGGCCGTCGCCGTTCTTGGCGATGGCCTTGCTGATCGTCTCGGCGGACTCGGCCTCGCCCTCGGCGCGGATGACGTTGGCCTGGCGCTCCTGCTCGGCCTTTTCGACGATGAAGCGCGCGCGCTCGGCGTCCTGCTGGGCAATCTGCTTCTGCTCGACGGCCTTTGTGAACTCCTTGCCGAAGGTCATGTGCGTGATGGAGACGTCCTCGAGGGCGATGTTGAACTCGGCGGCGCGCTTGCGGAGGTCGGAGCTGATGCGCTGGGAGACGGCCTCGCGCTGGGTGATGAGCTCGGCGGCGTCGAACTGGGCGACGATGGACTTGAGGACCTCGTTTCCGATGGAGGGGAGGACTCTCTCGTCGTAGTCTTGGCCGAGGTTCTGTAGTGGGTAGTTTGTCAGCGTGTGTTGTACTTTTCCAGCACAGAGGGAAGTTGTGGTTTAGATAGAGAAGAACAAAAGGAAAAAAACTTACCTGGTAGATCTTGGGGAGGGCCTGGACTTCGGGCCGGTGCAGCACACGGAGGGTCAAGCTGACCATCTGGAGATCCTTGCTGCCCGTCGTCGTCGCGATGTTTCTCGGCTTCGTCCGCACGTCAAAGACGATGCTCCTCTGCAGCCACGGCACGAGGAAGTGCGTGCCCTCGTTGATGACGGCGTCCTTGACACCGGACATCCTGTCAAAGATGACTGCTCTGGATCCACCCTTGACGTCGTAGATTGACGACTGCACGACCGCGATACCAATGGCCGCAGGGACGGCCATGCGGTACGCAAAGCCCAGAGCTTGAGCCATTATGTCGGATGGCTGATGAAAGCGTGGCGGTGACTTTCCTTTG